ATAAACTGAACTTGAGACCTATGAGAAAATAAAAGAATAGGAAATAAATGTGAGAAAGAAGGGAAAATAGAACACTAAAGAAAAAGAAGAAGAAAAAAACAAAAACAGAAAGCCATGTATGGGAATCTGGGAAGTGCATATTTGATAATCATCATTTAAGAAACCACTCTGCTTAACCTCGAAAATGATCGTTTCCTCCTCTTCCCCTGTGACGTCACGTATTGCAATGTGGGGCGGACCTTCGCGTATATAAGTCGTAAGCAACCTCTAGCCGGCACCATTCTCTCTCGTCTTCCAAAGCGTAAAAGATGACTTTCAAGGTAAGTTCACCACGAAGTCTATTGTCCACACACACATCTATTCAAAATAAGTTTTCCAGAAAGGTTATTTTGAAAATGACGTGATTTCTTCGGATTCTCCCAAATAAGATGAATTATTTTACCACCCTGGTCATTTACAGGTTGCTGTATTCGTTGCCTTAATGGCCGGTGCCCTTGCCGACTCTGCTCCTAGATACAGTCCTCCTACTCCTTCCTACAATCCTCCCGCTCCTACATACAATGCCCCTGCACCCGCTCCTTCGGTAAGTTGTTAAACAAATTTTGTATGCAATAGTTCTAATAGGAAAGTTGGAACATTATAAAAATGTACTTGTATGGTTGTTTCCCTCATCTTATCTAAACAGGGACCTGCTCAGTACGATTTTAACTATGCCGTGAAAGACGACTACTCCGGAAACGACTTCGGTCACCAAGAAAGCCGAAATGGATACGATACTCAGGGTACCTACTACGTCCAGCTTCCCGATGGTCGTCTGCAGACGGTGACTTACACCGTGAATGGCGACTCCGGTTACGTAGCTGAAGTTTCTTACCAAGGAGAAGCCCAGTACCCAGCCCAGCAGCCTTCTAGGTCCTATCAACCCGCTCCTACTCCATCCTACCAGCTTGCCCCCTCCCCATCCTACCAGCTTGCTCCCACCCCTGCCTATGGTTAATCTTTTGTACTAATGTGCAAAAAGTAAGAAAATGAACAAAGATTTTCTGTTTGTAAATAAATATTAGGAAAGGTTAAACATATCTAATTACTCCGCCCGCTCCCCGAAAAAAAAAAAAAAAAAATTAGGTTTAGGTAACAGGTTATTCTGATTTCATTCATATTACGTGCTTTTAAACTATCTTCTATGTGCAAAAGAAAGGTCTGGCCACCATCCACTGACGGAGTGGGACTTGGTCCACGAACGCCTGAGGTGTGATTATAGATAATCCGACAGCAATAAAATAAAGAACAGTATCAGAACTACAATAACAGTAAACAGTGAAATAAAACATATAGGATAATGAAACGAACATAATGTCATCAATGATATAACTCTCATTAATAAGAATAAGCTGCACTGATGCCACATATTTGTTCCGTGATAATGGTAACTACTAATGATCATAATGTAAATAATATATATAGTATTGTGCTTGTGTTTTGTCCGTTCGCATAGTACGTTTGAAAATTATACCTATACCGTGAACGGCACTCTGGTTATTTAGCTGAAGTTTCTTACCAAGGAGAAGACCAATATCCAGCTCAGGGGCCTTCTCCATCCTACCAAGCTGCCCCGTCCCCATCCTACCAAGCTGGTTCCACCCCTGCCTATGGCTATTTTTTTATACTGTCATACAAGACCCTGTGAAGTTTGAACCAAGAATGTGTGTATGAATGTAAATAAAATGTGATGTTGAACAGTATTTGCAAAGCCTTCATGGAATTTAGCATATACATACCCGTAAATGTTATATATATATATATATATATATATATATATTTTTTTTTTTTAGCGTAGCAAGATTACTCAAATTTACGATGGTAATTTCAATTTCGTCAATTTCCAAATTCAGCATTAACATAATCAGGTGCACTAATGCCTCAATAGTCATGAGATGTTGAAACAACACTGTGCCATTCACAAATTAGCTTTACACTTAATAAAGTTAAGTTATCATGATCATTACTATATATTTTTTAAATGCGAGTATCATTGTAATAATAATAGATGTAATAGTAAAAATAGCCTTGATAATAATAATTTCATAATAATTATAATTATCTTTATTAATATATTACTAAAAACATTACTAGTATATCACTACTAATAATTATCATTATTACATCAATTCTATGTCGGCGACAGGATCAGAACCACCACCATTGTTATCGATACTGTTATTATAATTATTATTATTCCAGGCATACAATGCGAATAAATGAGACAGAAGATAACTTATAATGAAATATAAAGAGACGCAATGAAAGAGAAAGAGAAAAGTACCACTAGGAAAAGAAAAAGAAAAACAAAAGTGAAAGAGATGCGATAATGTTTCCCACATAGCACAATTCTACTACACCTTTTTCTTTTTATTTCCCAGTATCATTACACCATACAGTGT